AACAACATAATCTAAGTCTTTCTAATATATAAACTTTTGCACAATATTCATGATATCCTACTTTTTGGTCAAATAATTATATCTCTAATACTTCAATGTCTCTTTTAACTTAGAGGTATTTTTCGATATTAAAAAACGTACCTACAATATTTAATCAGATGAAAAATTACTCAAAAAATAGAAAAGTGATAAACATTTGTATAATTTGTGGAATGATTTTTTGTTGGGTAGAAATAAATTTATGAATATCATTAATCTCGAATTATAAATCCATTAAACTCAAAATATATACTGAATTTATTTAATGATTTCATAACCATATCCAATTTTTAATGAAGAAAGTTATTTCTGATTTAAGAAAAAATAATAATTAAAAAAATTAAGATAATTTAAAAAATGGATTTCTGCTTCTCCGTCTGAATAAATTAGAATCTTATGAATAAATTCCAGACTCATATCTTAAGTAGCTAGACTTTCATTTACCAAGATTTTCTCATTATTTTTCGAAATCTCAAAATATCTCCAATTTAACAATTAAATTTTTTAAGAAAATTAANTAATAAAAGAAATAAAAATAAGCTTCTTTATTAATTACATGGAATTATATTAAAATTTCCAGATATTATAATTGTCATTTATCCCATAAAACATTGCTTCATATTTTGATCTATTTCTAATTGAATTTTGTTTTGAGAAAGAGCTAGAAATATTTATAAAAATAAGATAGCACCAATAATTCCTATGTAAAATAGACATGTTCATATAATTGATGAAATTATTGAGTTTCTAAATTCTTTGTAAATTGTATAGATAGGGTACTATATTATTAATAAATTTTTACATTCAACTTAATTAAATTGTTTTACTATCACTAATACTATAGCATTTGTGATCATTCAAAGTTAATGAAAAATATTAGTGCACAATTTTAGTGTTTAATTTTCAATATATGTCCTGGTTAATTCTTAATTAATCTCATTTAATCTCATTATGTATGTCTAAATAATTTCTAAATTTAATTATTAAATACTAGAAATTTAGAATGCAACAATAGATGGAGAATGGAGCATCAATCTTTTCTTATTTGATGACTATCAATTTTCTTTTTAAAATACACATTGAGATTTATAAAAAATTTTATTGAATACTAAAAAATATTAGCTAAGAATATGGTTGTGAATTTATTTCTTATAATAAATAAACTCATTTTTGATTTTGATTACTGGAATAGATTTAAAGTTAAAATTAACTTCTTATGTTAAATAACAACTAGACTTTAACTTGGATCTCTTTCGCCTGTAAAAAAAGGCATGCTACAGCAGATTTATGAATGTAATTGTCTCATATGATAGTAGAATTAACCTGGTAACTTTGAATGTAATGTGTATTTATGAGCAAGATAAATCAATAACAGTATGACAAATTAAATAAAATATCAGCATTAAACAGATGAAAATTGTTCTGAACTCTTCCCTTAAAAATATATAAAAGAAAAACTAATTCTGCTTAATAAGAATGGATGATATGTGAATAAAATTAAGCATTAAGATTAATCATTTGAAAATATGTGCGATTGTTGTGGATAATATGGCACTATTTCATATAATGGGACATATTTAATAACATTTGAGAGTCATAATAGTGAAATAAAAATCAGAAAATATAAAGAAAATATATTAGAATTTTTCGATTTAATTAATATAAACTAAATCATAAAAATCATGTAATAGTCATTAATCAAGATATCCTAAATTTAATAGAAGATCAAATTCAATTTATAGATTATATCTTGATAAAATATTCTAAAACTATTACTTAAATGATTATTCAATCAAAGAACAAAATTATTGGTAATTTGATCATCATTTTTTAAGCCTATATCCATCGTTAAAATGATTTTATTTCAGATTTCAATTATAAGTATTATAGAGTTTTAATTGATTGTTAATACTGAAAATTTTTTTTGCCAACCATCAGCATTATGTTTTGTAATAAAATTAATAATTCTGTTTATAACAATTATAATTAAAAATATATATATGAATAAATAGATACCTTGTAAGATAGCTGGGTAAAAATTTGATTCTTATGCCTAATTGGAGGAAAAAATTGAAATGATGCTAATTCTATATAATGACAAAGAAACTATTAAAAAATAAGATTTTTCTTTCATTTTAGATGTTTTGAAGCTTCACCCTAAAAGTTAACAATCAACAGTAGATAGTATTAAGTCTATTTAAGTAAGACGAAACTCTAAACAAAAAAATTTTTCTTTATATTTTGTTAATAATGATGGATAAATCACACATTTTAATTATAAAGAATATCTTAATGAAATCAATAGATTACAATAAACGAAAGCTGATTAAAAAAGTAAAGGGTATTCAATAATGAATAATTCGTTAATTATAACAATTATAGCTGTGATAATTGTGCTAATATATAGAATCATACCTAATTTTATTAAAAATTTTAGTTCATTTTTTAAAAACACTTAATCATCGTTTTACAGATTTTTCAGAATTAAGTAAAACAATATCGAAATGAAAAACTTAATTCCTCATTTGTAAGGGTTAGGATAGTTGAAATAGGTAGCTTTAGAAGAATAATTAGAAAAACAAAGTAGCAAAGAAAAGTACCCCATAAAAAGAAAATGATTATCCATAAGAAATATAATATAATTTGATTTTTATTTTTTTTATATATTTATTTTTGGCTTAAATTTATTATATTATTTTTATAAAATCATTCTTAACCTATTAATCACTTCCATAATAATTCAAACAGTAGATTCATCGTGGGTATAAAAATAATTTATTCACAAAAAACTTGAATTAATCTATAATATATATTTTGTTAGAGGATCTTTAATATATTAGGATTTGTTTCGTAATATCGTTATCATATTCTGATTTTAATAGCTTGATGAAATGGTACTCCATTTCATCAACCTATCAAGAACAAAAATACAAATATTGATTAAACTTCAATAATACATTAAATTACTTAATATTATGAACAACATAATCTAAGTCTTTCTAATATATAAACTTTTGCACAATATTCATGATATCCTACTTTTTGGTCAAATAATTATATCTCTAATACTTCAATGTCTCTTTTAACTTAGAGGTATTTTTCGATATTAAAAAACGTACCTACAATATTTAATCAGATGAAAAATTACTCAAAAAATAGAAAAGTGATAAACATTTGTATAATTTGTGGAATGATTTTTTGTTGGGTAGAAATAAATTTATGAATATCATTAATCTCGAATTATAAATCCATTAAACTCAAAATATATACTGAATTTATTTAATGATTTCATAACCATATCCAATTTTTAATGAAGAAAGTTATTTCTGATTTAAGAAAAAATAATAATTAAAAAAATTAAGATAATTTAAAAAATGGATTTCTGCTTCTCCGTCTGAATAAATTAGAATCTTATGAATAAATTCCAGACTCATATCTTAAGTAGCTAGACTTTCATTTACCAAGATTTTCTCATTATTTTTCGAAATCTCAAAATATCTCCAATTTAACAATTAAATTTTTTAAGAAAATTAATTATATTTTCTTAATTCTAATATTTTCTATTTTTATTTCTGATAAATATTCTTTAATAAGATTTTAATACTTTTAATATTTATCAAAAAAATTTACATCTCAAAGGTCTTTAAAAATAGTAAGAATTAAAAAAATTTAACCTTATTTAAAATTAGAATATTGAATGAATTAAAACAAACAATTTGATTAATTTATCTCTAAGAATGAAATAAGGAACCTATGTATTTGCATACAAAGAACTATCAGTTAGATGTGCTCTTTCCTTGTTATATAAATCTTAATTAAGTGATTTTTTTTTTACAATAAGAGAATAATTTCTCTAATTAATTCAAAAGATAATGTATCATCTATATAATTAGCAAATTTTCTCCATAAAATAATCTAAATTTCCATTTCTTGAGAAGTAATTTAGTATTCAAATTCAAGTTTTGATATTTGTTAGATCATAAGTCATCCATCATATCTTAAAATTTTTTATTTCTTTAAAAAACCTTTAGAACTTAAATTGAAATTGAATTTTTAGAACCTTTTGTATCTCTTTTGTTATTGGCTCTTTTAGTCTTATTATTCGAATTCTATAATTATGATTCCTTATACTTTCAATATTTTAATTTTATTTTCCGTTAGAAATAGACCATAAGCTGAAATTCATTAGCTCTTAATCTTTTTTTTGAGTATTCCAATTATTTTGTTATTTATTGATACAACTCAGCGTCTGCTGCTTTTAATCAATTTAGCTTGGGTGTGCTAAATAACTTGTGCTATAAAAACTAAAACAAATTATTTTCCAATAATTGGTTATTACAATGCATATATATAATTACAAAAATGTAGATTCATTTTAATCAAATATTAAATTTTTTATCTCCATAAAAAGAATTTTAACGAATACATTTACTGCTAAATTAAGTAATTAGATGACTATTGACTAAATCAATAATTAACTGATAGTAATATAAGTTAAATAGATAGAAATATCTTCAATTAAAAACCTTCCAGATTCTATCTGATTACTTGAGCATTGATTTAAGATTGAGAGATTTAATGTTTTTATGTGAAATAATCGAGATTATTTATACATGGAACACTTGCTAGAATAAATTAACATTAGCCTATTTAGATGAGGGGTGTTATTCACAACAACATTTAGTTGGTGTTGTTGATATTACAATTGATCAACTCCTTAATTAATGAAAATATTTCTTTCTTACAAAAGGCTACAAAAATTAGGATGTCAAAAAAGTAATGGCAGAATTTAAAAGGCAAACTCAATTCATCCTCTGATTGAAGCTTTGCTTTAAGTGGCAAAGATTTTTCTAATTTTAAATAATTTATGTTTTTGTTCTCTTACTGCTACTAAAGTTATTTGTTAATAACAGATGTAATTAAAAAAATTATTGAATTAATTAAATATCCTGATATAATTTATGCATAGCGAACTCAACAGATAATTTGAAAGTTCTAAAATTGAAAGAAGAATTGTTACTAGAGTAAAACGAAGGAGATCAATTGACTATAGTTATTCTCAAGCACTCAAATCCAAAAATATTGATTATATGAAAGGTCATTTAAACAGAAGAACACGTTATTCAAATTCTTTTTCTGCATATGATTAAAATGAGGCATATTATTCACAAGACTGCCCAAATGAATTATTAAAAGAATAAAAGAAAGATAATTTCTATAGTAAAAGCGCATCTGATTAATCTTCTAAGCAGCCAATTCAAACCAATAAAAAATATGATCTGAATGATATGTATGCAATTAGAAAAGATGAAGTGGATTTTAGAAAATATAATTATAATTTTTAGTTGGATGTTCTTTAATTGGAAGCCTTATATTATTGGCTTTCAATTTTTGGGTTTCAGCGTTCTGCTCCTTTATAAATCCCACCTTATTTATGCTAATACATTTATTCTTTAATTTTGTATAGAAGTGACTTTCGCAAAATTTTGATTTAATATATGGATATCTATAGTAGAGCCTATCGTAAGTTTAATTTGATAGTGAATTTGTAATAAACTATAATTATGAATTTATAATTTTTAGTTATCTGAACTCCTTTATTCACAAACTAAATCTAGATTATGAAGTTCTTTTAGATGATTTCCTTAAATACTTTTAATTATCAAATCTTTAAAATGATAAAATAGAATAATCTTTGAAAGAAGATTATATTTATCGAAAAAATAACATAGCCTTGGGAAATATCAGATTTTTTTTCAAATAAAAAGATAGAATTTTAGTTGATTTTTAACAACCAATAGGGAAATTTGAAGATTAACAATTTTACGATTATGTTTAGTTTTAGACAGAGTTTGGTAAATAATTATCATAATATGAATCAATTAAATCGTTTAACTAACATCTCACTGAACCCCATAGTGAAAGAACTTTGATATTATTTCTTTTAGCAGACATTGAACTAAACAAGTCAATCTATAAGACTTTAAATTAGGATTTGATCAATTAAGGAAAAATAGGTAAAATTGATAACCTTACAAAAATATACCTGGAAATAACCACTGAAAGCAGACTTTGCAGTAGATGTGTGAGTATGTTTTAATACATCCCAGTTGAGTTTATTTGTAAAAAATTTAAGTCAACTTTTATTTTAATGTAGATCAAAAATTTTAATTTATAATCATTTCGTAATACTTATTGGATCCTCAAATCGAATAAGAAGTAGAAAAATACCAAAAGATTTGGATAAGAACACCTTAAGGGTAATAAATTTAATAATAGTAAACATAAAAACAATTTTAATAAAATTTTCAAACTGATTCTAATTACCAAGCGGACATTTACTTAGAAAATTTTTTAGAAAACTTTCAAGCTCCTAAATAAAAAGAGAATCTTCTAGATTCTTAATCAGTTCCAAAAGAAGACCTTCAAAACATGAATTTATATTAATAAATTGAATAGGAGGAAATAAAAGAATAAGAATTGTTAGTTTGTTATGAAGAACAAGAACCTACAGGATTTGTTTCTTTTTTATTATTAAAAGAAAGATATTGTGTTGGAAATTGTAGGAATTTCAAAGAAAAAGTTGATCAAATAAAAATTACAAATACATTTTTCTTAAGTAATGGAAAACAAGAAGAGCCCAAATAGAATTCTTAGAGTAGCGAATAAGAGATAAAATAACAATTTGCTAATCTTCTTAAAGAGTTTTCAAACATTAAATAAGAGAAATAGTTCTAAGTTCAGAATAAATTTTAGAAGCACTAACAAACTTTTATAACATAAGAAGATCTATTATTAGAGACTAGATCATAATTTTATAAATTATTGGTAAAGAAATTTACTTCTGAATTTTCAGAACTAAACACATAGTAATTCAATTTAAATACGATCTTGAGTATCTACTGGGGGATTGGATCTCTTTAAGGTTTCAAGGAATCTCATACTGATTTAATTGATGCCCTAAAAGAAGAATTAAGGCTAAATAGCATTATTTAGTGTGGAAAATTGAATATGTAATTATTTCTATCTGATTATACATTCTTAAGAGAATTCATTACTCCATAAATTTCAAGACAAATTAGAAGGAAAAATGAAAACTTAAAATTTTAATTAATTTTTGTTAAGTAAAAATATTTGGTAAAGAAGACTCTGGTAACATTAAAAAAATTTGTAGTTTCAACTAGGCTAACGATTGTAACTCACTGTCTTTATTGATAGAGTAACAAGTCAATACAGTAATCAAAAAATTTAAAAATATTTTAATAATTATCTTGTCAGTTGATAGGATTCAATAATAATGTAAAGAGAGAATTAATAGTTAAATTCTTAGTTTCCATCATTCCAATCTAGAACTTAAGTACTTTTCTATTAAATAAAAGGAAAAATAGCAAATGTAATAATCCTAATAAAAATAATCATAAATATTAGAATAAGAATGGGATCTTTTAGAAATTGAATATTATAAATAGAGATATACACTATAAAAAGAAGGATTGTTCCTTTCTTATAAATAATTGAGTGAAAATGTTGATGAAGAATTGTTTAGCTTTGAATGTTAGGTAAAGTTATTAATTAATTATTTATAGATCCACAGTTAGAATATTAATATGTGAATCTATAAATCAAGAAAATGATATTATAATCAATTATATACAAAAATGGAAATTTTTTTTTTTTTATTTCTAATTGGCAAAAAGAACTTAAATTTGTGTTTTCTAATCAAAATTAACTTCGATAATTAAGGACCTTTATCTCTAAAATTAAATAAACAGATGACTATAGTTAATTAGTAAAATAAATCATATTTATAAATCAATAATTAATTAAATACTAAAGTAAATCAGCTAATTACATTTGTATCAAAATTTAGTTTCATTATTAATATTAACTTAATATCAAAATAATAATTATTACTAAAAAATGATAAATATTTAATTGATGACATCAATTCCAGTTTTCACTAATAATTTCAGCCATTTTTTACGACTAACCTGCAAAGTCGTTAGCATAACAATATCAGAATATCAGATTTCAAATTTATCATTAGTATTTCTTACTTTATTTAATGATAGTGACTTGAATTTATATGGAATAAATTTGGAGTTAAAATTCTTCCTTATAGTACTCTGTTGTATAAGAGTATTTAACTTATTGATGACAATATATCTTGGTCAAAAGTTACTACTTGTACAACATCTTCATGTTCTTTTTAGAACTAAAAGCTTTTCTTAAAATTAAAAAAAAAAAACTTAGAAATAAAATTACCTGATTCTTCTAGGTGAGACATGAAAGTTTGCATCCCCTCTTTGATAATCATTATTGTAGAGATTATTTGAGACATTGATACTTGAAAGTATTATAATATTCTGCAAGTTCTTGAGCAACCTGAATGGCTAAGATATGTAAATTAGTGATAATTTCAACATTAAATTTCTTTTTCTTGCTCATTAGAATAGCCAAAATTGCTTTAATTAATGTCTTCCCTTTCTTTTATAAACTTAGGCAAATCTGGCTTTATTATTGGAAAGATTAAACAATTCTATGGCTGATAAAAATTAAACTGAAAGTTGAAAATATGCAAACTAATTTTTCAATCTTTAAAATAAAGTATTAACTAAACTATATAATATATATTATTTAAAAAATAAAAACAACGAATAGATGCTTTTTCTAATGCTTAAAAATTTGATCAAAGAGATACATATGTTAGCATAGATTAAATGGAATGTGATCTACTATTAATATATGGATGTATTTCAGACAAATTCAGTTTAGGATGATTTGATTTAAATTGTGCAATACAAAGAGATAACAAAAAATAAAAATACACTAAGTTTCAAACAGTGCTAATAAATACTAGCATATATTAAAACTGATTATTATATGCAAACGATTAATAATTTATTGTATATAGTAAATTGATAACTAGATAAATCCACCACAAAGTCAAGATAATATTTGCAATCAAAATTTAAAGAACAATTGCCTTCTCAAAGATAAAACTAAAGGAGGTTGTTAAAAATATGCTAAACAATTAATCATGAAATAGATCGAAAATATAATTAACAATAAAAAATTTAGGAAACTCCTAATTCAAAAGTGAAATGGAACAATTCTAAAAAAANTGGTCAAAAGTTACTACTTGTACAACATCTTCATGTTCTTTTTAGAACTAAAAGCTTTTCTTAAAATTAAAAAAAAAAAGACAATTTAGAAATAAAATTACCTGATTCTTCTAGGTGAGAAATGAAAGTTTTACTTTAATTAAACAATAATGCTATCATTATTTTCAAATTATTTTGAATCACCTGCATCTAAAAAAATCAACTATTCTTTTATTATTATCTAATACCACAGATTAGTTATAAGGTTTGAAATTATAGATTGTCTATATGGCATTTTTAACCCAAATTTTCTTTATAAAGGGAATATCATTTAGTCAAAATTTTTAAATATTAGCTAATATAGCTTTTACCAATTAAAGATTTATTATTTATCCTAAAGACTCTTCTAGCTCAAAAAAAAAATTTCTTGGCCTTCAATAATCACTTTTGAATCTTTCTAGATGTGCGATTCAATTTACATATTTCAACCAAAATCAGTTGATTTTGTTCTGTCAAGCATTCTTAAAATAGAGGAATATAGTAGTGTTTATTAAATGTCCTATCTTTAAGTATAAAATTGACCATATTAATAATTTTATAGATTTATTTTCTCTTTCCCATAGTTCCTAATTCTGAGCATTCATGTCTTAAAATTTATTCCTAAAAACTATCACTTTATTTAAGGTTGTATCCCCTCTTTGATAATTCATTATTGTATAGATTATTTGAGACATTGATACTTGAAAGTATTATAATATTCTGCAAGTTTTTGAGCAACCTGAATGGCTAAGATATGTAAATTAGTGATAAAATCAACATTAAATTTCTTTTTCTTGCTCATTAGAATAGCCCAAATTGCTTTAATTAATGTCTTCCCTTTCTTTTATAAATTTAGGCAAATCTGGCTTTATTATTGGAAAGATTAAACAATTCTATGGCTGATTAAAATTAAATGGAAAGATGAAAATATGCAAACTAATTTTTCAATCTTTAAAATAAAGTATTAACTAAACTATATAATATATATTAATTAAAAAATAAAAACAACGAATAGATGCTTTTTCTAATGCTTAAAAATTTGATCAAAGAGATACATATGTTAGCATAGATTAAATGGAATGTGATCTACTATTAATATATGGATGTATTTCAGACAAATTCAGTTTAGGATGATTTGATTTAAATTGTGCAATACAAAGAGATAACAAAAAATAAAAATACACTAAGTTTCAAACAGTGCTAATAAATACTAGCATATATTAAAACTGATTATTATATGCAAACGATTAATAATTTATTGTATATAGTAAATTGATAACTAGATAAATCCACCACAAAGTCAAGATAATATTTGCAATCAAAATTTAAAGAACAATTGCCTTCTCAAAGATAAAACTAAAGGAGGTTGTTAAAAATATGCTAAACAATTAATCATGAAATAGATCGAAAATATAATTAACAATAAAAAATTTAGGAAACTCCTAATTCAAAAGTGAAATGGAACAATTCTAAAAAAATATAATAAATTACTTTTTCTAAGGTTCATCCATAGGTTCCTGATCTTAAATTACATTTTAAATTTCATTAAATCAATTGATATGAAGATTTCGAATAAAATTTCCAAGATTTAGATCTATTTCACTTAATGAGAAATTCTTCATTAATTTTTAAGTTTAAATTAAGTTACTGATTTGTAGCCATTAATTTTTATAATCAAATATCTCTTACCAAAAGGATTAAATTGAAAATTAACTGAAGATTCAGGATGAAAATAATAATGAAAGATTTTAGATTTCTCAATATCCATAATTAAATCTAATGACAATTATCTTAATTTTTTTTTTAAATACAAAATTGAATTCTTCAGAAAAATAATTGTTATTTATTCATCTTTTATTTTTTAAGAATGAAAGAGTGTAAATCTTGAATCTTATTAGTTTACAACTATAATTTATTCAAGAATAAGAAATTATTTTCCATTTTTCAGTATTGATTTCAATTATCATTTATTTAAGATTTAAATTCGACACAAAATAAACATGAATAATCACACAATTTATTTCTGGTCTATCTTAACATTGATACTTAACCTTAATTTGATTAAAAATACTATAGCTTGCCCATTTCATACTTATTAATAGGCAATAATAAATACAGGTAGCTAAACATGGATGTAAACTTTAGAGAATGATGATACATCAAATGGAGGTGTATTTACATTTGGATTTTGGACATTTAATATACCATTACTAATTTAAACTGATAATCTAAATATTGGTGAAGAATTTAAAATTAATGAACCATAAACAGGAGAACTTCTTTTTTTATTAAAAAATACTGAAACTAATGGCAACTTAATAGTTTGTTATAAGTCTTTTGATTATGTATAATAAAAAGTGTAGCACATTTTTCTCTTAAAAAATGGGGTTGGTAATTTTCAATTCACATTTGATTTCAATTCATTACAGTATGAAGGAATCTGGATTTTTCACTTAGTTGTATTTGAGAATTCAAAAAAAAAATGATTGTGAAAGTAAATTAATAGGATGCACAATCAGCATAATTTAGTTTTTAAAATCAATTAAATTTAGAAATAATAATTGGAGGAAAAGGATATGTAATTATTTTTTAAAATATAGATCTCAAATATAAACCTTAACTATTTTAAAGGACTTTAAAGTAAATTAATATTCAAAACTTCAATTGACTATTCAGAAAATATTTCTTAAGATTTAATGAATGAATGCTAAATTCCTTAAAGAACAAGCCTTGAATAAACCATTTAAATTGTACAAGGATTAAAGTTATTTGAAGGAAACCAAATTCTATAGATGTTAGTAGATTAATATGGAAATAAATACTGTATATAAGGACGGGTTAAATATATACTGATCAAAAATACACATTATTAAAATTAAAGGGGATTTCTAATTTTGAATAAGAGAAAACTCTAGGAGACGAATTATTAAAAGTTGAAGTATTTATCTCTTCTGATACTCCAAAGGAAACATAAATAATTGTAAATGCTGATGCATATGGTATGCCAGTTTAATAATCATTTCAATCCCAATATGATTTATTTTTTTAAGGATCACAAAATCCTGACTATAATGTATTACAAACAAAAAAATATTATTAAGACCTCAACACTTAACTTTATTATGAAGGATTATAATAATGGCATTTTATTTAGTATGAATATGGAAGAAGCAATTTTGATGAAAGAATGTGATTGATTATAAAATTTTCAAATGAATTAGGACTATTAAAAGAAAATTTAGGGAATAATATTTTCAGTGGTTCATTTACAAATTCTAAATTTAATCTATATTTTGGTAGTGATAACATAAATAATAATTTTTTGAAAGCTCAAATATATAATTTCAAGATGTAGTACAATTATAATTAAGATAAACTATTTAATATAGATTGCCATTACACATGTTTGACTTGTTTCGGACCATTAGAATAAAATTGCTTATCTTGTGATCTTAATTCCAATAGGTATTATTAAAATGAGTTAAAAATATGCTAGTGTTTTTCAGGTTATTTTGAATATGGGAGTTTTAAATGCAATAATTAATTTTATTTTTCAATAGTTCAAGAAGAGGTTGAAATAGATATAGAAATCTATGTCCTTTGGATATTTTTAACTACCTGATGAAAAAGGATATGGATATGATTGTCTAGAATGGTACGATTTATATTTAAGTTAGTCCATCTTTGAGGAGAACTTCTTCAATTTACTGTGTTGATTGTTTGTTCTATCCAAAAACATGGTATCTAAAACCAGTGTGTAAAGAAGATTATAAATAGAATTTTTTTAAATATGATGATTAAACTTTGGTCATTAAATAGAGGAAACCAGCATAAAATGATGTTTATCAAATTGGAAATAATAAATAGATAAATTAATATTCAGAATATGAGGATTATTGTTAATATTCTTTATAGAAAAACAATTACTGTCATAAAGTAGCTCATTTTCATCTTGGATCTTAACCTACCTTAAAATGCAAATATAATTATTTATGTGATATGGTTAATTAAGTGTGCTTGAGAAGCAATTTAATATGTAAAACATATGATATTTAGGGACATTTTATTGATTGTCTAACAGGTATGTACCTAGTTTGGTATTATTTTTATTAATGCCCGAATACTTGTACTTTATGTTAGAATAATTGATTAAATCAAGCAATGTGCTTAGAATGCATTGAATAATATACTATTAAAAAAGGAG